CTTATCAGAACTATGGCTTCCCCAAAGTCATCCAGCCAGGTGCAAGTGGAGGAGTGGGGAATAAAACCCGGTTCTCCCAGGTTAGAGTCCATGCACTTAACCACTACACCAAACTGGCTCCTTCCCTTTCCTTCCCCAGCCCCCCACCTCACTGGGTGGGGGAACCTGCAACCACAGTATATCTTACTTAAGACTCGCTTCTTCAGCTGAGCGGTCTGCTGTTTTCCTTTGCTACCCCCCACACCACATGCTGTTAGGTAATCTAATTTTATTTATTTATTCATTTATTTTGAGATTTTTATTCCTCCTTCCCCAGAACAGGCTTGGGGCGGCTCACAAGAAACTGAGTCCAAGACTTGTTACATAAAAATCACATTAAAATCATTAAAACAATAAGCAATAAAAATCACACAGGTAGCGACAATTTCATCTAAATCTATTAGAGCCACGAGATGAAATCAAATGGGCCCTTTCAGCAGATTGGGAAGGCAGGGAGGCCAAATAAGGTAGACGCTCGCTGTCCCACCCAAAGGCCTGGCAGAACAGTTCTGTTTTGCAGGCCCTGCGGAACAAAAGAAGGCCTTGCGGGGCCCTGATCTCCAGGGGGAGCTGATTCCATCAGGCTGGTGGCAGCGCGGAGAAAGCCCTGACATTGGTTGAGGCTAAGTGGACGTCTTTTGGGTCGGGGGTAACCAGTAGGTGTTGGTCCTATGAGCGCAAGGCAGTTAAGTTCCCCACTCCCCTGCCCCAGCACCCCCGCCCCTGCACCACCAACCAAAAATTTCTGGCTATGGGGCTGGCACGAGGTAACTAGGACCAAAGAGCGAGACTGCCTAGAAGTTGCATTGAGGGCTCCCAGGTAATGACTGAGAGGGTCCTAGATTCCCTGGAGCATCAGTGGAGGCTCTGCTCCTGGAAGCTCTTCAGTTAGCATCTCATCTTCCAGATGAGCTGAAAGAAGGGAGTCATAAGCCAGTGCTCTGCCACTTTGAGGTGGCTTCCATCTGAGTCCACCGCTGAATGATCATGACCGGGGGACGGTCCTGTAGTATGGAAGGAGTCTAGATATGGCTTGAAGATGTGCATCTCATGGTTCGGAGTCCAAGAGCAGAGTGCTCTCCATAGCAGTAGTTTCATATCCCATGATGGTGTGCTGAGTAATTCTGGGTCCAGGAGGTACCAGAGTCTGCAGTGGGCTTCCCCTGTACTTCTGAGGACTTGGGGAGATAGCATGGGCTGACAGGACAGGAGAAAGAGAGTTGCAGAGTCCTGCCCACTTTCACGGCTAGAACCACTGATCTGCACGCTGGCTCCTGATCCACTAGGATCTCAGGTTGGAGCGTTTTGTGGACTGCAAAGTGTTCCTAAGTTTCAGAGAGATTGGACCCATGCAGGCTGGTCTATGACTTCTCACTTCCTAAGGGCTACAAAACCTGGGTGCTTGCTTGGACGGGAATGGAATCCTTTGTTTTGATTCCCCGAAGGGGTCTGACTCCTGGTTTGTGAGGCAGGCTTCCGATGCGTTGTTGGTGCCTCTGGATTTCTGGTTTGTGGCGTCAAGTATCTGCGGCTGCCTGAAGCTCGGCACTGCAAGCACTGTAAGGTACGCAGCTTATGCAATTTTAGTAAGCAAGCCCACATATGCTCCAGTTTTCTTCAGCTGTTCTCAGGGCCAGGCGCCTGTTTGTATTTATAAGGAAAACATAAGCAGGGACTCTGCTTTCTCATATCATCCAGGCTTCCTGCAGAAGTACCCTTGACAGCTTCCTCTTGCCAGTGCTGGCACTCTAATGAGCACATTGGCATGAAAAACACCATTGCAAGTGCAAGTCTGTCCTCCATCCATTGCGAGGGTTGCCAAGTCCTCCTGGGTGGGCGAGGGGGCATAGGGTTGCCAGCACCAGGTTGGTAAACTTCTGGAGATTTGGGGGTGGAGCCTGGGGAGGACAGGGAACTCAGCAGGGCACAATGCCAGAGTCCACCCTCCAAAGCAGCCATTTTCTCCAGGTGGACTAATCTCTGTAGCCTGGAGATGAGCTGTGATTTCGGAGGATCCCCAGATTCCATCTGGAGGCTGGCATCCCTCTTTTGTTCACAGATTATGTTTTCAAGTGGCCGGATCAACCCAAATTGCATCTTAAGTGAAGATCTGTTGTTCTTTCCTCTCTCTTTTCTCTTTAACCTCAAGAACTGACCAGAATTAGAATGAGTAGAGACGGATGCTTCACCCTTTTCCCCCAGCTCTCTCTTTTTTTTTCAAAATTGCCCATCCCAGGCTGCTTTTTAAACCCATGAGGTAGAGACCTTCCCTATAGCTGGAAAAGCAGCTGTTGGAAGAGGTGATTTTTGAGCTCAAAGACAGCAGTGGGGAGGTGGGAGTACACCAACTAGTCTTCACAATTCTATCTGCTCCAGAGTTCTTCAGGTAAAAAACAAAGCAGAGAGAAGAATTCCTGACCTTGGCTGAACATGTAGTGTGAACCTGAGGTCAAATTGCATTGACAGGTGGTGGTAAGCTCCCCCCCACCAATGAATTTCTTTAATGCCTAGTGTTGCTAACCTCCAGGTGGTGGCTGGAGATATCCTGGGATTACAACCAGGGCTTTTTTGGTAGAAAAAGCCCAGCAAGAACTCATTAGCATAATAGGCCACACCCAACAGCAGAAACGCATTAGCATATTAGGCCACACCCCTGACAAGCACAGTTCATTGGCATATTAGGCCACTCCCCCATGTTACCAGAAGTGTGCTCCTCCAGCCACACCCACCTTTTGCTTCTTATTCTGTTTACCTTGTTTGTTGTCCAAACCCAGGGCTTTTTTGTAGCAGGAACTCCTTTGCATGTTAGGCCACACACCCCTAATGTAGCCAATCCTAATGAGTTTCTGCTGTTGGGTGTGGCCTATTATGCTAATGAGTTCCTGCTGGGTGTGGCCAACTTGGAAGCCAGCCGGAACTCCATTCCTGTGCAACATTCCTGCCCAAAAATAGCCCTGATTACAACTGATTTCCAGGCGACCGAGATCAGTTCCCCTGGAGAAAACTGCTCCTTTGGAAGGTGGACTCTATGTCACTACACCCCCGCTGAAGTCCCTCACCTTTCCAAACCCCACCTCCCAAGGCTCCACCCTTCAAATCCCCATGTATTTCCCAACCCAGAGCTGGCAACCTTATTTATTCCTTCAGTGGTAGTACTAAAGTGCTAGTTAGTTTGAGAATAGAGATATTACAACTACATCCCTACTTTTGTCTGTGAAATGTTGGATGGTATGTAGCTCAAGCTTTCCCCACCTGCCAAATTTGGCTGTGTGAGCTCACTGTGGCTTGGAATCCTTGCCTCCATCTGGGACGAGGGGAAAGATGTTCCAAACCACTATGGCAGAATCTGTCCTTCGGATCTGGCTGCCCAGTCACTTGAAGGAGATCTTTCCGAGGGCCATGCTCTCTCATAGTGGATAAAAGAGTCCAGCCTTTTTTTTTTCCAGATGAACTGGCCATTTATGCTGCCGCATGAGGCATCTTGGACCAGTGGAGGTTTCATAGCTTCCAGGCAGCTGCCATCTGGCGGTTCTTAGAGCACCAGACTTCAGCAGCAAAGGCCATTTTAATTTGGGGTAAATTACTGATGAACATCCAAAGCCTGCAGGAACACCATTAACCCTTGCAGGAGATCTTGCTTCGCTCCAGACAGCGTGTGCCATGGAGAAAGAGGCCGTGAAAGGGCTGGCTACATTCAAAGCAGACATTCTCCCCAATCTCCTTGTTTACTGCCAGCCACAGAGCTGAACTTCAAGCAGTGATCAGGCAGGGAAGGGAACAGTTGTGCATACATATGTGTCCATTTTGCAAGTCCATTTTGCAAGCGGCCTACTGAATGCTTGCAAATGCCCATGGAACATTAAAGCATTCCACATTAAAGCATTCAAAAAAACTTGGGTTAAGCAGGATGCGGTTCTCTCCCATCAGCATTCAGTATGTCTCAGTTCCCCATCTGCAAAGTGAGCATGATAGGGTTGGCAGGTCCCCCCTGGCCACGAGCAGGGGATGGGGGACTAGGGTTGCCATCTCAAGGTTGGGAAACCCCTGGAGATTTGAGGGTGGAGCCTGGGGAGGACAGGGACCTCAGTGGGGCACAATGCCATAAGAGTTCACCCTCTGAAGCATCCATGTCCTCCAGGGGAACTGACGTCTGTAAGTCTAGAGATGAGCTGTAATTCCGGGATATCCCCGGGCCCTTCCTGGAGGCTGGCATCCCTTAGCTTGACAGTAATCTATCTCAGATGTGAGAAGAAAGATCAGGGCTCATCAGCGGGGCAGAGGACATGTGGAAGCACTGAGGGGCACTCAAGTTACTTCCTAGACAGCCCACTTTGTAGATGTCGCCATCGTGGTTCAAGGCAGTTTACAGAAGGCATATTATAATATTATCAGTGAAAAACAGATGGAATAAAAAGTCCCAAACACCTCCCTGCCTCAACCGAAAAGACGCCTGGTCTCCATATGCCCTTCAGAGCCCTGGCGAACTGGCAAGCCTTGCAGTGTATCCTGAAGGATCTCCAAAGAGGGAACTCACCTCACCTCTGCAGGGAACCCACTCCACAGAGTGTGAGCCACAGTGGAAAAGGCCCAGGATCTGGTCCACAGCAGACAGGCCACTCCAAGTGAGGGAACAGCCCAAAGACCACAGCTGGCGCATGGGAACATAGGGAAGGAGGCAGAGAGCAGCAGTGTTTAAAGCATTCTGAAATCATGTATTTTGTTTTAAGTGAACTGAGCTTTGCTTTATTCATTTCAAAGAAAATGCAGATTTCAAGGGAAAATTTACCCCCCCCCCCAAGAAGTCTCTTAATGTGAAGGGCATTAATAGTAGCGCCAAATTTATACCAGGAGATGGTGAGATCTGGTTTTAATGTAAGGAATAAGCAATAAGGTCAGTGGTGCTTTGGGGGTTCTGCATGGCCTTTGTCCTTCAGTGCCATCTCTTCTTCCATCACCCGTAGGTCGGGGATCAAATCCTGGAGGTGAATGGCAGAAGCTTCCTGAGTATCCCCCATGACGAAGCAGTGAAAATCCTCAAGTCCTCGCGACACCTCATCATGACTGTCAAAGATGTTGGGAGGCTGCCTCATGCTCGGACCACAGTGGATGAGACCAAGTGGATTGCCAGTTCTCAGATTGGAGAGACCATGGTCAACCCAGCTAGGTTTGTATACCTTCAAAGATAGGCTAACAGGACTTTTCTCTCTGGTGCCCAAGTTCAACAAGTATAGACTTGGTGGACTGGGATCACTGCTGGATTCATGCACCAGCTAAGTAAGCTACAGTATAGGGCAGTGATGACTAACCTTTTAGAGACCGAGTGCCCAAACTGCGACCCAAAACCCACTTATTTATCGCAAAGTGCCAACACGGCAATATAACCTGAATACTGAGGTTTTACTTTAGAAAAAACAACTCATACATTAACTTAAGATGATCCAAACAAAGTAAGGAAAGCAATCCCAAATGTTTTCATTTACTTAAAATTATTTGGCAGAGAATTCAACACTTTAATGATGGTCTGGGCATGGCTGGGGCGATGGCACGTGTGCCCACAGAGAGGGCTCTGAGTGCCACCTCTGGCACCCGTGCCATAGGTTCGCCACCACTGGTATAGGGGATTAGATGATGAGGGGGCCTCTATCAATTACTAGTTTCAGGTGGATAGCTGTGCTAGTCTGTAGTAGATACATGTAGCATCAGTGGTATTTACATTTAGTAGATACTTCATCAGATATATGTCTGATGAGTGACTTTTCAGTTGTGAAAGCGTATTCCCTGGGGAAATTGTGTTCGTCTTTAAGGTGCTATTGGCTTCAAATTTTGTTCTCGAAATTACTGAATTACTCTGTGTTTTAGTAATGCTACAGGGCTTTTTAAACTTGACATAGTTTAGGGCCCCAGTATCTGACCTTGATTAGTATGAAGGATCCCAAGAAAGGGAAACAATTTGGAAATCCACTTCCCTCCAAAATCTCAGCCTTCAGGATACTGCAAGCTCTCAGGAGGTTAAATGAACCATTTACCTCATCTTCCTCATTCCCCCCCCCAACAGACTCTCCACTGCTCTCACATTTCCGCACCTCCTGGAGTATTCTTAGTCATTCAAGCCATTTAATTTTTGGCTTCAGTTAAATTGGCATCATTTTTTCCTGTTCTCCTAGATACTTCCCCAAGTATGTGGAAAGCCCTCCCTTATCTGTGGGTAGTCAGTTCAGGTGTGCACTCAGTATATACTGAGCCAAATAAATACCCAAAAAATACCTTATTGGTATTTTTCAGGTATTTATTCAGCTGAATACAGATTGGACAATCTGATTCGGCTACTGAAATAGCCATGCCCGAGTAAAAGCTGATATTATTTGGCTTTTATTCAGGGATGGCTAGAAGGCATTTAAAGAGACTGTGGTCTCTTTAAATGCCTCAGTTCACTCACCAAGTCAAGCCGTCATGGTGGCACAACTTGGCAAGTGAAATACTCCATTATACCCTGTGGGGACGGTCCCCATAGGGTGTAATGGAGCCAAATAAATTTGGGTTTCCCAAACATTTACCCAAATACCAATACAATATCGATAGCGGTATTCAGGAATATTAGGGAATACCAATATTTTGCAAGTCCAATAGACCCGAGACTATTTTTTTTTGCACACCCCTAGCAGTAGTCAGGTTGTGCCATATCAGTGAGTGGCATAAGCCAAACTATTATTAGATATTATTGCAGAGAAGTGCTGGATCCCCTTGTTCTTCTTAAATCTTGATGTCCATGGGATAGGGTTGAGTTGATTTACTCCATTCTGTTCCTTCTTATAGTCGAAAAGTTCAATGTGCCCTGAGTTCTGGCTTAATGAGGAGAATTTCTCAAATTATTTATGGAATGGGAACAATTGCAGCTTGTTACATCTTTGAGTTCCTTTAATTTGTTTACCCTCCATTCTGGAAGAGCATGTATGTATTGGTAAAACACTGCACAAAAGCAACCTTGATGCAGTCCTATGTATGTGAGAGAAAAGGATTCCGCTCCCCTACCCATACACACCCCATCCCCCACCCAAATTGGAGTCCATCATGATTACTACTCTGCAACAAGATACACTTAAGTGATCCACTCATGGACTGCCCAGTTTCTTGCTTAATTTAGTCATCAGACTTCTTCCAATACCCCTGTACATTAAGCAAGCTGAGACGATCTGCAAACTAACCCCACCCCCACACCAGTGCATAAACTGGTCTACAAATAATGGGGGGAGGGGAATCAAAATCTTCCAACACTGGGATAGCAGTATCATCATTTGGCCCCAACTTCAATGCTTAAATTTCAGAATTGAAAGTTTATTTCATTTATCTAAAAAAAATGTGTACTCTGCCTTACAAAAATCCTAACAGCCGCTGACAACTTATAAAAACTCATTCATAAAACCATCCAGCAATGTAGCCATGTTGGTCTGCAGTAGAACAGGTAGATTTGAATCCAGTACCACCTTAAGGAAGCTTTGACTCTCGAAAGCTTATAGCCCGAAAACCTTGTCAGTCTAAGGCACTACTGGACTCAATTCCAATGATGTAAAGAAATCATAGTATCATAAGCAGTTTTTAAAAAAACTATTACAATGAGTTATTAAAATCTCAAGTGAACATAATAGACTACTTCCTGAATGATGAGGCTGGGTGAATCTCTTCTAAAGTTCAGTGCTCTCGAGACTGAATCCCTGTCCTTGAATCCCTGTCTTCAGAATGGTTCTAATGACACTTCTTTTCTTTCTAGGGCTGTTGGAGACCACATAACGGAGGTGAACACAAAGGTAAGAACCTTTTGGATACTGGAACAAGGGCACCATTGCTGTTCTCCACTGGCAGAGGCTTTCCACGATCTCAGGCAAAAATATGCCTTACTCAACCCCTGCCCAACCCCTGCTACCTGATATTAACTGGACATTCTAACAATGGAACTTGGGACTTCCCATATGCAAACTGGTTGCTCAGTCACTGAGCTGCAGCTCCTTTGATGTATATGGAGTCCGTCCACCAGTCCATCTGGCTCAGCACTGAGTTCACTGACTAGCAGGAGCTTCCTGAGAGTCAGGCAGCGAAGGGTCTTTCCCAATCTTAGCTATACTTATTGCTTAGTTATACTTATTGCTTAGTTACTTATGCATCTTGACTATAATTAGCCACTCTGGCCAACTAACCCCCCCCCATACACACGCACCATATCTACCCAGAACTAAACTTTGTTGGTCTTAAAGCACCATACCTCATCTCCAGCATCGATGAAGAAACTGTGAGTACTTGTATAAATCAACACCAAAGAATCAAGAGACCTTTTGATTAAATCCCCTTTGAACATCCACAAAGACGAGGAAAGGAGGAAGAGAATCTCTCCCCCCCCCCCTCCTTGGTGCAATTGGCTAGCAAAAGTACTGGATATAAAAAAAATTAAATAACTACAAGGGGAACAAAAAAGGGATACAAAATAATCTTATCTGAACATTCTATCACCTTTATTGGAATTATAAACCAGCTAATTTTCTTACTTTTATTAAAAAGAAGAAAAAATAGAGGCATTTTAAAAGGAACTTCCTTATATGGTAATAGAACTTCCTGTAACATTACTCTTGTTTTTGAAGTCTCCTGAGCTCAGAAGACATTGGATAAAAGCAATCACCTGGTTCCTGTTGAAAGATTCTCAGTCGTTACTATGTCTGCTATAGTAATCTATCCAGCAGTGTGGTTTAGCTCCTAGACTGTTGGCAGACTGAACTGCCTGTACTTTCTTTTGTACTGGGGTTGCAGATATTATTTACAAAATGGATTTCCAAGCGGGAAATGAATTAAAAGCTTTAAATTCAGATGATATTGCAGATGTCAAGCTGATTCAACTTTAATGGGATGCTCTTAAATTCATGATTCTGGAGTCAATTAAGCTAGCAATCAAAGAAACTTGTGCTGAATTATATGACCAAAGCTTAAATACTCTATTGAAATCTGCAACTCAGACAAACTTCTGGAGCAATCTTTGAGAGACAATGAACAAAACTGCAAGCAAGAGGATCCCCCTCCAACCTATTGGAAGATGCTTTATAACAGGACAAACACACCAAAAAAGGAAATTAAACCTCTTATGGAACTATGTTTTATAGAACCAAAGAGACAGATACCTACAGGAACAACCAAACCGCTGAAGCAAAAGTCATCTCAGAAAGAAAAGAAGACAGAAAATATCCTTAAGCTACACATTGCAACCCTTAAAGCAAATGTATGCAGTCCACAAGGGGAAAAGACACAGAGACAAGATCCTTTTGAAGAGAAGATACCAGACCAAAAAAAAATAACACTAAGCTTTATGTATAAAATTGTTATTAAGAAAACTTAACCTCTCTCCATATAAGAGTGGCCTAGGGAGCTCTTATTAAAGTGTAACTAAACAGAATGGCTTGTATTGTTAAGAAATCAGTTGAGGGGGTGACAGTGTAAGGATTTTTAGTAAAATAGTGGATAATATAGATTATTAGGTGAATCATAAAGAAGGAGCATTCATCTTTATTTTTTATCAAAAATAAGGCAACAATTTTTTAAAAATCGGTATATCTGTTTCACAGGGAAACTTGAACTTGCAAGAAAAAAAATAGAAGGGAGATGACCTTATTAAAGATAAGAATAGATTAAGAGAATATGAAATTTTATAGTAAGAGCCCTTGAACTTATATTACCAAAAGATAATAATACTAGAATGGCTTGTATTGTTAAGAAATCAGTTGAGAGGGATGACAGTGTAAGGATTTGTAGTAAAATAGTGGATAAGATAGATTATTAGGTGAATCATAAAGAAGGAGCATTCATCTTTATTTTTTATCAAAAATAAGGCAACAATTTTTTAAAAATCGGTATATCTGTTTCACAGGGAAACTTGAACTTGCAAGAAAAAAATAGAAGGGAGATGACCTTATTAAAGCTAAGAATAGGTTAAGAGAATATGAAATTTTATAGTAAGAGCCCTTGAACTTATATTACCAAAAGATAATAATACTAGAATGTTTAGATAATTATCAAATGAAATCATTTATGTATTGTTTGACACATGTAGTTGCAAATATCATTAGGTTATTAGATAAACTCTCTGTTTTAAACTATGTAAAGGTAAAGGTTCCCTTGCTCGAAAGCCAGTCGAATCCGACTCTAGGGTTGCGGTACTCATCTCCATTTCAAAGCCGAAGAGCCAGTGCTGTCCGAAGACATTTCTGTGGTCATGTGACCGGCATGACGAAACACCAAGGCGCACGGAATGCTGTTACCTTCCCACCTAAGTGGCACCTATTTATCTACTAGCAATTTCTTGCTTTCAAACTGCTAGGTTGGCAGGAGCTGGAACTAGAGACAGGAACTCACTCCGTCATGCGGCACCCGGGTCTCGAACTGCTGAACTACTGACCTTCTACAGCCTGCAGTTCAGCATCTTAACCACTTGAGCCTTTAAGCTATATAGGAGATATTTAAACTGAATATATTACACTATTTTCATTTTTTTATTTTGTAACTTTTTTTTCTTTTTGGAAAATCAATAAAAACCTATTATAAAAAAAAGTTTGAGTACTGGACTAGGGTCTAGGACAACTGGATTCGAATCTCAGCCCTGCCATGGAAGCCAGTCTAACCCAGTGATTCTCAAACTGTTGAGAACTGCAGTCCACAAACCCAAATTTACTCGGTATGAAGACCTGCTTTTAAAAAAAAAAAAGCAATCACAAATCAGAAAAACTGCAAATGCATGCAACCCACTTTCACTGGCTTTGCAACCCGCTTTTGGGGCAAGACCTGCAGACTGGGAAACTGCTGGTCTAACCTCCCTCATAAGGTGGTTGTTGTGCAGGTAAAAGGAAAGATGGGAGAACAATGGTAAACCGCTTTGCCTGTGACATCCTTGTTTTAAGTTTGACCCAAGGCCTATTGGGGTAATAATAATTAATAATTATTGTATGGCAGTGTGTGTAGTATAGCCAGGAGATCCTAAGATTGTCTGGAAGCCAGAGGTTCTAGCTCTTTTAGCGTTATGCACCATTAGGTGGCGAGCTAGACTTGTTTTTAAGGCAAGAGACGTTTCAGAGGTGGTTTGCTATTGCCTGCCACTGCATCACACCCCTGGTATTCCTTGGAGGTCATCCTTCCAAATACTTGCCAGGACTGACCCTGCTTAGCTTCTGAGATCTGACAAGATTGGGCTAGCCTGGGCTATCCAGGACAGGGCTCCTGTTGGGGCATATCAGGGGAGTCAAACATGTGGCCCACGGGCCAGATCAGGCCCCCAGAGGGCTTCTATCAGGTCCGCAGTGGAACTGGCTGTCTTCTGCTGCTTCTTCCAGTTCTGCTGCTGCCACATCATCATAGGTTTGCAGCTTCCAGTCACACACCTAAACAGCATACTCAGGATTGCAACCTCACAGACATTTTGATGCAATAATTCAGAGCAAGAGGTGTCAGTTATCAGACACTGTTAAATAAACAAAATATTGCTAGAGTGCTAATGTTTTAAGCATGTTTTTATTTTAAGTTAAAAAAAAACCCTTTGTGTTTGTGTCCTTTATGAAGTTTATATCTCCGCTACCTGGCATTACATTTTATGACACACGCGGCCCAGCCCAACAAGGTCTCATTTATGTCCAATCCGGCCCTCATAACAAATGAGTTCGACACCCCTGGGGTATATACTTTTGTTTCGCATTTGAATTGTTCTGTATTTAACATTGTAACCTGCTTTGAGTCCGCAGCAAGGGTGAAAACAGCAGGATAAAAATATTCAATCAAATATTTCTGAACCGGAGACCCTAAATACCCAGTAGCAAACAGAAGTGAGCTAGATAGACTGAGTTAATAGAAGGCAACTTGCCCTGACCTGGATAGCTCAGGCTAGCCCAATCTCATCAGATCTCAGAAGCTAAGCAGGGTCAGCCCTTGTCAGTACTTGAATGGGAGACCACCAAGGGAGTGCAGGGTTGCCACGCAGAGACAGGCAATGACAAAACCACCTCTGAACCTCTCTTGCCTTGAAAACCTTATGGGGTCACCATAAGTCAGCTGCGATTTGGTGACACTTTACGCACAACCAACTTTATTTCATACATATCTCCAAATAAGAGTAAGCCGGCAACTTTAGGGCTGGCTGAACCAAGAGAGGAGAGATCTTTTTCCGGGCCAGTTCCCTTCAAGATGCAATTGGGGTGGGGGTGCATCCTTGACTGCTGTCTGCGAAACATTCTCCCCGCGTGCAGAATGTTCATGCATCAGAGGAAATTGTCCCAGTGAGCTTTCTGCTGGATGCACCGTTGTTTCTGTTTGCAGGGAGTTTTAAAGTGTACAAACCACCAGCCGCCCTGCAGCGGTATTGCCTGTAAAATTGATTTGCTGCATGGATCTGCTGGCTGTTTAGCCTGGCCCTCGGAGTGCTGAGCTTATCGCAAAAGGGTTTCTTCTGCCAGCACTGCTATTAAACAGGAAAGCGGTCCTCTGCAAGATGGGAATTTTCCCTAATCGTGTTTTTCAGAACCTCATTGTCGCTCCCTTAATTACTAAGAAATGTGTAAAATGTATACCCTCTTCTAAACCATTGACTGTCCTGTCCAAGTCTGCTGATACTATCCATACCAATTTGATTTCTTGGGAAGAAACATCTGCTGATGACTCAACAATGCAAATTGATCCCAAAACTTCTTGTATGCAAACTGGTAGCAAAGATTTTCTGGCTTCTTTGGATTTAGATAACTCCAACAATGTCTTGACTTTGACTCCCCTAGTGAAAGATGTGGAAGAC